AGTTGATGTCACTTGGAGGCTGTCCATGCTCCAAGCCCGTGCTGAAGAAACCGGAATGCTTGAAATAGGAGAAGCTGTCAGTGGCTGCAGGTCAGCCAGGTGACTTCAGCATTCAGCAGGGTTTGGGGACCACCGTCCTGAGGTCCTGTATTTGAAAGTGTCACCAAGATTGCCTTCCGTTGGCTCAGCACACAGCACTTAGGCACTCCAATAGAGTGGATGGCGGGGAGTGGGGTCACCAGGGAGGATCCTAGACAGACGGACGGCCCTCTCACCCCTTGCCCTGCTCCTTTCCTTGCTGAGAGCTGGCCCAGAGATTTTGGAGTGACTCAGCCTGGCAAGAGGACACAGTAGAGCCGCTCAGAGCCTGTGTCAGCTGGACCCTTTCTGTCTGTCCCCCAGCTTTGTGACGACAAACTGTGCTCTGCAGTTTTCATCCCGTGGAATCCGGCCTGGCCTTACCACTGTCCTAGCTCGGAACCTGGACAAGAACACCGTGGGCTACCTGCAGTGGCGGTGGGGCATCCAGTCAGCCATGAACACCAGCATCGTCCGGGACACTAAGACTTGCCACTTCACTGTGGCCTTGCAGGTGAGGAAAGGAGCTGCAGGCTCCTGAAGGTGCATCTCGAGGCAGCTGTCTCGTAACCTCCACCCTGCGGGCAGCTCTGGTACACCGGCAGTGACTTCGGCTCTAGTGTGGAAGGAGGATGTTCTCGAGCACCCAGGTGGCTGTGTTCCGATCATCTGAAAGGAAAGTAGCATTTTCAAGTCCTTATATCAGAATGGTGCTCTTGGGTACCGTGGCCAGGCAGAGAGAGAGAAGCTGGTGGGAAGCAGGTCTCTTGAGAGTGACTGCTCCTGAACTCCTTGTCCTAGCTCAGTGTTGCCAGAGGTTTCTGTTTCTCATGAGAGGCTAGTAAAGTGCATTTTCATTAGAAATTTCAGTTTTTTTATAGTCGTGTGCTTCATAACGTTCCTGTTAATGGTGGATTTCATAGTAAGACATGTCACCCTGTGGTTCTCTGGAACCGTATTTTGTACGGGAGTCACACAGTTGCAGATCACTATCGTCTCCCAGCATGCCATTACACAATCCAGGCTTCACCAGCTGCTGGTCCATGTTCACACACTCGCCCTGATGAAGCTTCCTGCAGACATCTTCCAGAGTGGTGAGGCTGACCCTGCCCCCTCTCCTCCTCAGCTGGGGATCCCTCACTCCTTTGCACTGATCAGCTATCAGCACAAGTTCCAGGACGATGACCAGACACGTGTGAAAGGATCGCTCAAGTAAGTCTCGCCTTTGCTCAGCAGAGACGAGCCAGATCTGCGGAGGGCCCTCGGGGTGGGGCTGTGATGGCCACTGTGCTGCTGTCACTCCTGGGATGCTGCCTGACTGCCCCTTGCTTTGTAGCCAGCCTTGAGAGGCTCTGCTGCTAGAGAACCTCCAAGATGTCCCAGAGCCACTGATACCCACGGAAGCATCATGGCATCTGCTCCCGTGGATAATGGGCGGGGGAGGGGGAGGCATGGGGACTTGGCTCTATTTTCAAGGAGCTCCCGTGTGTGGCCTAGTGGCCTGGAGGTTAACATGTGCCAGCAGCTGTGCTCTGCCCCCACAGGGCAGGCTTCTTTGGGACAATAGTGGAGTATGGAGCTGAGAGGAAGATCTCCCGACACAGTGTCTTGGGTGCTGCTGTGAGCATTGGCGTCCCACAGGGTGTGTCTCTCAAAGTCAAGTAAGTCGAGCCTGACTCTTGCTAACCAGGGGCTGAGGTTTAATTCCTGAGGGTGCCATTGCTTCTGGGCTGCAGGAGCAGAGGTCAAGGAGAACATAAACCCAGCTGTGAGCTGGTGGAGGCCTAGGCTCTGCCCCACCTTCCCTGGAAATATATTGATCATTGGGTCCCTCACTCCTCAGCAGCTCTGTCCCCACCCAGTGCCACCATAGGCATCCACAGCATCAGATTCCTTCTTGTCTAATAGCATGTCAGCGTGCACTCTTTCTGTACACTGCCTAGTCATTCAGAAGTGCTGTCTGAGTGCTTGGGCGTTGGGTGTATTATTTCAGATATGGTCTCACGTAGCCAAGGCTGTCCTGGAACTCAAACTTGGGATCCTCCTGTTTCAGTTACCTCGATATTGAGATCTCAGACATGGACACATCTGGCTTATAGGTTTGCTTACTTCTCTGTTGTGTTGCTGCAGTTGGGCCTCTTCCTTCTCGACAGAGGGCAGCTCTCCATCCTCTTCTGATGTGGAGTTGATAGCTTCTGCCTCTCCATCCCTGTGCTGGGATTCTTGGACAGCCCACTGGAGCTCTGCTTTTATTCCTGGCTATCTCTGTCTGCCTTGCAAACAGAAGCAGCTCTGTGGGGCACAATCCTTGTCTGTGCAGATTCTTCCACAGCGGCCCAGTCTGGCCCTGCTTTTTAGTACCATCATCTACAGGTTTTGGTATTTGGATGAAGTCCTAGACCTGTGCTCCATGACTCCCAAGGAATGGCTGTACTGTATTTCCGATGTCCTTGCCTTGAGGGCTCGTCCTGGCCACTTCCTAAGTCTCTAGTTTATATGCAGTGTCCCCTCTCTATCCATGGATATCACGTGTGTGGACTTAAGCCACCCTGAATCAGAAATCATGGGGGAAAGTTGCACAGGCACAGAAGTGCAGTGAGGCGGCAGCTGTGTTCTGAGCATCCATGTCAGACACGATAGGAAGCTGGTATTGAAGTCTGTGGGCGCGGCAGTCAGGTCTGTAGTCCTGGCATCAGGGAGGCCTGGGCCTAGATGACTCAGGAAAGTGTTTGCAAGGAAGTCTTGGTTTGACCCAGAGCCATGTGAAAAGTCCAGTGTGGCAGCAGATGCTTGGTTGAGAAGCCAGTGACAGACTGACTCCTGGGACTTGTTGGCGGCCCATCCTAGCCTGCGAGCCAACTCCCAGGCCAATGAAAGATCTTGTCTAAGGAAACAAAAGTGTGAACAACTCTGTAAACTGAGGTGCAGTTTTTCTGTACTGACTGCCCTGTTCCAAATAAACACACGGAAGCTTATAGTAATTACAAAATGTTTGGCCGATGGCTCAGGCTTATTACTAACTAGCTCTTACAACTTAACCCATTTCTATTAATCCATGCACTACACTGAGGCCCTCTATCTCATTTTGTATGTCTGACTCATTCTCCATCTGGCTCAACTCCTCTGACTCCATCCTTCCATGTGCCTTCATTCTCAGTTTGGCTCTCCCGCCTAACTTTATCCTGTTCAGCTATTGGCCAGTCTGCTTATTTACTAAACCAATCATAGCAGCATATAGTCACACAGTGTACAGAAGGATTATTCCACAACACAGACTCTTCGGAATGACACTTGGTTGTTCTGACCTCCATGTGCACATGTATCCACCAAAAAGTTTGAGAACTAAATTCTCTAATATATCAGGTGTCCCCCTCTGGCCTCTGCAGGTGCTGTGTGCATGTGATACAGTCACACGTGCACACGAATCAAATAATTTTTTAAAATATAGTACTGGTGAGATTGCATAGCATTCTGCAGACACACTACCATTTTGCACCTCTGAGCTGCGATCCCTGGACACCGGTGATTATATGCACTCTAATCCTCTTTTATCTGAATTGAGAGCACTAGTGAGGCTGAGGCCCCATACTCTGCTAGATTTTGTCTGAGCTTGTGATGGTGACTTACTTTGAATTAGCTTCTCAGGGACGGTATGTCACCTGTCACCCTGTGTTTTCTGTGACAGTATTAAGCTGCCCAAACTAAACTTTTTAAAGATTTGTTGCTTTTAATATTGTGGGGGGGGGGGTCTGTCCACATGAGTGTGAGTGTTGTGAGGGGCCTGAGGTATCACATCCCCTGGAGCAGCTGCAGGCCTCCAGATGTGGGTGCTGGGAAATGAACTAGTGTCCTCCATATGGTCTTAACTACTACGCTGCCTCTCTGGCTCCTTCAAACTAAATTTTTATACTGGTTGGATGTCCCTTACCCTTGACATAAATGTTAGAGTTCATATTTTCAAATATTTGTATGTAAAGAGGAGTCTTGGGGCTAGGACCCAAATCTAAATGAATTCGGTTTCTTTCACAAACACAGAGCTTCAGGAATTTTCTGTCTCACCTCTGTCAGCTTGGCCATTTTGTGTTGAAGGAGTGTGTCTCTGTCTCTAAGGGTGAAGCTTCTTAGCATTGGTGTGGTTTGTTCCTCTTACCCACCTGTCCTCTGTGGTCACCCTATTGGCAAGGTACATCCTTTCCACCCTTCTTTTTTTTTTTTTTTTTTAAGACAGGGCCTTACTAGATAGTGCCAGCCTCAAACTCAAAAAGATCTGAGTGCCTCTGCATCCCCACTGCTGGGCTTAAAGGAGTGCCTCACCATACCACACTTGAGTCCTTTCTACTAAGAAGATTTTACAACAATGAAGCCCTTTACAGTCTACTTCATCTTACACATTTGATGTTGTATTTTCACTATCTAGTTCAAGCTGTTTTCTAGTTTCACTAGGAGTGTGTTGCTTAATTGTGCACGGTGTTATCGCATGCTTCTGCTTTTGCTTATGTGTGCATGCTTTTAATCCCATCCTTAGGAGGCAGAGGCAGGTACATATCAAGTTCCAGCAGGCCAGCCACGAATACACAATAAGCCCAGAAGATGGAGGGAGGGAAGAAAGGAAAGATGACTGCTACTTGAGCCAAGTGTGTCTCATGCCTATAATCCCAGCTGAGGCAGGAGTATTTAAGGCTAGCCTGGGCTAATATAGTGCCAGGCCAGCATGAGCTGAATAGGGAAACCTTGTCTTAAACAAATGCATTCATGCATACATATCTGAATGAGGTGGGTAGCTGAATGGGACACACAAGGTCCTGGGTTCTGCTGAAGTACCCAGGAGTACAGTGGGAACATGCCAGTCCCATGTGCTCATGCTCACCTGTCCTGCTGTTGGTCAGTGCTTCAGAGTCTTTGTTGTAGTGAATCTTTCTCTGTACCATTAGCTCACAAAAAATGACTCCAAGACATTAATTATAAATGTTCGGCTGATAGCTTAGGCTTGATACTAACTAGCTCTTACAACTTAACCCATATCTTTTACATGACTCAGTTACCTTTACTCTGTACTGCCCACGGTGCTGCTTCTTCATCTCCAGGCCTCCCTGCCTTCTTCCCAGTGCCCTCTCTGCCCAGAAATCCTGCCTAGTTAATTGGCCTTTCGGCTTTTTATTAAACCAATCAGAGTGACACGTCTTCACAGTGTACAAAAAGATTATTCCACAACACTTTGCTTTAAAATAAACACTAATCTGAGGCCCAGCATGGTGGTACTGACCGAGGTAGACTGAAGCAGGAAGGTCACTTGAGCCTAGTAATTCAAGGACAGTCTGAGCAACATAGTGAGACAAACCTCCTCCCTGTCCCTCATCTCAGAACATGAGTCAAGCCCTGTTACTGTATTTTTAAGATTTTTATGTCATATGTGTGAATGTCTGTTTATATGTAGATATACATGCAGGTGCCCTTGGAGGTGAACAGAGGGCCTCAGGTCCCCAGGAACCAGAGTTCCAGGCAGCTGTGAGCTGCCCAGTGTGGGGTTCTGGGGACCTAAAGTGGATCCTCTGCAGGAGCTGCCAGTGCCTGTAGCCAGGAGCCATCTCTCCAGCCCCAGTCCTAGCTCTCACGTGTGATCACTAATCAGGAACCCCTCGGCCTCTGAAGTCTCCGGGGTTGTTTAGAACACCTCTTTACCGAGACAGGCTGTCTCCAGGGCTGCTTTCCTCTCCTGGAGCAAAGCACAGCCATAGGGACATTGACTCCAGCTAAGCGTTCACTCTCCATTTGCCCTTGAGGTCAGCTTTGGAGCTGGTGTGCTGGTTTCTGGAAGTGACTCCCAGTGGCTGAGACCCCACTGCTCCTCCGTGGAGGACCTGACACACCCTCTGTGTTTTGTTCCTGCTTCCCACAGGCTGAACAGGGCCAGTCAGACCTACTTTTTCCCTATTCACTTGACGGATCAGCTGCTCCCTAGTGCCGTGTTCTACGCCACTGTGGGGCCACTGGTGATCTACTTGGCGATGCACCGTTTAATCATCAAACCATACCTCAGGGCTCAGAAGGAGAAGTGAGTTTTGCACTAAGAACCTCTACCTTGGTCTCCTAAACTGGAAAGATGACTGGGTCTACCCTGCAAAAAGAAGACAAGTTAATGCTGGGAAAGTGCTAAGCATGGCGTCCAGGTCCTGACACCTAGGTCCTAGTCGCTGTTAGCCAGCTGCAGCAGCAGGGAACTGTATTCCTTCCCTTCTGGCCGATCAGTCCCACCCCCAAGAAATGACTCGATTTGCTTTATAAAATCAGCTTCAAACAGGACCAGCACAAATGCCGCCTCCCTCCCTCTCTTCCTTCGTAGACATCTCACCCTGCCACTGAACTTGAAGTGGAATGGGTCTGTTCTGTGATGCACACTAACTGTAGTCATGGAAACCACAGAACAGACCTAGCTTTGAAGTTTCTTGTAGAGAGCCCCTCAGCCAAAACTGAGTCCAAGCATCCCTCACACACCCAAGGGATGGAGAGGCCCTTTGTTAGCCTCGGAGCTGCCTGTGACCTCTGTTATTACTGCAGTGTAGGGACCCAGTTCCCATGGATGTTTAAGTCCTGGAGCAAAGAATGTGCTCCATCTGACAGCTCTGTGTGGGCTGACCCTGAGTCCCTCCCTTGGCTGTGGGAGCGGGTATTTCTGCATCCTAAGTAGTCTGAGCTGTCTGCCTGAACTGCTGGAGTCTTCTCCCAAGGAAACAGCAGTTCAGGAAGTTCCATGTAGGAGGTGGATAGGGAAGGGAATCCCAAACTAAAGGAAGCTGTGCAGGCCGCCTGGGGTTGTTTTTGGAAGTTACTATCTCAGACTGCATACTGGGCTCAGTCCAGCAGGGGGCGCAGTGCGTTCAGCGTAGAGTCACTTGTACCATTTCTCTCTGAAAGGGAACTGGAGAAGCAAAGGGAGAGCACAGCCAGTGACATCCTGCAGAAGAAGCAAGAGGCGGAAGCTGCTGTGAGTGTCCACTGCCGCGTGCAGGCAGAGCCCAGAGCAGCCTCCTCCCCACCCTTCTCTACCTGGGACCGTGGAGGAAACTCCTTTACCATCCAGTGCTGATCCCAGAGCCCAAGGGCTTCTCTTTCCAACAACCTCATCTACCTCACAGCTTTTCTGTGACCTGTGGGGCACATTCTGGAGCCTGGTCTGTGCCTTGAGATGAACACAGCCCTCCAAAGGCCTAACGAGGTTTAGTAATGCAGCAGGCATGTCTTCTCCTCCCTCCCTGTACTGCCTGTTACGGAGGTGAGGGAGCAGAATGCCACAGCTGAACAGCAGGGTGCCTGGGGTTCTTGTGACCAGAGGAAAGGCTACAAAGGCACAGGGCTGAGAGACTCAGTGAGGCCATGCATGTTCCCAGGCAAACGTGTTCATTTGGGGGGCAGCACACGGCCCTCCCCACAAAGAACACAGGTCCTTCTCAAGAAAAGTAGGGGCTCCAGCTGCTCACTGGAAGTGTCTGTTTTAAGGCAAGATCCCACTATGGGTTAGAGATGATCTCATATTTGTTATGTAGCCCAGGTTAGCCTTGAAATTCATCACTATGTATCTCTGTTCTTAAATACTGACATGTGTTCAGTAATTTCTCATCTATCACCTGCATGTGCAGAATCACTGAGAAGGGAGAAAGGTGCTGTCCCTTCTTCTGGGGTCATCATGTGGTGGTCTTCGAATCTTAGATGGTCTTTTAATAAAAACCCTAGAGCCAGATATCAGGGTGAAAGTGAAAGATCAGAGAATCAGAACAGCCAGCCACTAGTTCTTACCTCTATGACATCCTCAGCCTAAAGAGAGTGAGTTCCTGTTTCCTCACCCTTATCTACCTTTCTCTGCCCAGACATCACTTCCTGGGATTAAAGGCATGTGTCCTCCCCAAGCAAAGGCATGAGATCTCAAGTGCTGGGATTAAGGGTGTGTGCCACCACTTTCTGACCTCTGTGTCTAATCTAGTGACTGGCTCTGTCCTCTGTTCTTCAGGCAAGTTTATTAGGGTACACAATACATCACCACAGTGTGGGGGGTGTGCCTTGTCAGGTGACTCTCCAACACTACCTCAAGTAGGGCTGAGGGCTTCAAACTTCGTGATGGGTGAGCTGAGCTCAAGGTGTGTGCTCCTTTCCCTGCAGTCCAAGAGCAGGCATCTTGACATGGACACAAACTGGATGTTTGTCATTCTCTGACCAAAACAAGTCCAGGGTCCCCGACATGTCCGTCTTCTCTCCAAGGTTCGGCTGATGCAGGAATCTGTCCGAAGAATAATCGAAGCAGAGGAGTCCAGAATGGGTGAGAATGCGCACCCCTCTGGGCTGGGCTGGGTGCTGGGTCTCCAATCTCCAAAGCGAAGTGGCGGGACGAGCCGTGTCAGCCCGTGCTGCTCTGTCTGCAGGGCTCATCATCGTGAACGCCTGGTATGGGAAGTTTGTCAATGACAAGAGCAGGAGGAACGAGAAGGTGAAGGTGATCGACGTCACTGTGCCGCTGCAGTGCCTGGTGAAGGACTCAAAGCTCATCCTCACCGAGGCCTCCAAGGTACAGACGGGATCTACAACAGAAGGCAGGCTGGGCTCCAGCTCCATGTGCCCGGGACAGTCAGGCCTGCAGTGGACCCTGAAATCCACCTGGAAAGTGTCCCCTGAGCTGCCAGATGCCACCCAGCAGCAGTGCCTCTCCTCCTGGCACTTGCATGTCATTTGTCTGCACATTCCAGAAAGAGGGTGTGGACTCACCTGGACATGAGAAAGGGGGCTTGAGAGCCAGCCTAGCACTACCTGAGGAGGAGTCTAAATTCTCCTTCCTCCGTCCAGCTCCAGAGTGTGTCTCCTCCTCCATGCTGTGCCCAGGTGTTGGCAGCGGGGAGCAGAGCGGGCCTTGAGGGCTGACCCTCTGTTTGTTGCAGGCCGGGCTGCCAGGCTTCTACGACCCGTGTGTTGGGGAGGAGAAGAGCCTCCGAGTGCTCTACCAGTTCCGAGGTGTGCTGCATCAGGTGATGGTGCCCGACAGTGAGGCCCTGAGGATACCAAAGCAGTGTAAGTAGCTGCCCCTTGGTGTCAGCTTCCCTCTCCAGGTTCATCAGTGACAGCTGAGTTTGTGAGGTGATTGTATTGTCCTTGTCACAGATAGAGTTAGAGCTCACCATTGGCCAGAAAGTCAGCCTGGGCCGCGTAGTGAGTGAGGCTCATCTCAAAAAAAAAGTCTAGCCGGCAGTGGTGGCGCACGCCTTTAATCCCAGCACCTGAGAGGCAGAGGCAAGCAGATCTCTGTGAGTTCAAGGCCAGCCTGGTCTACAAAGCAAGTTCCAGAACAGTCAGGACTGTTTCACTGAGAAACCCTGTCTCGAAAAACAAAAAGTCTAGAGAGATGGCTCAGCAGTTCAGAGCACCTGTTATTCTTGCCGAGGACCCAGATTCAGTTCCCAGCACCCACACAGTGGCTCACAGCCATCTGTGACTCCAGTTATAAGGGACCTGACGCCCTCTTCTGACAATTGGGCACCAAGGCATGCATGTGGTGCACATCCATACATATAGGCTAAACACTTGTACACAGAAGTTGTAAACGGGGTAGGAGGACCATTCTTGCCACAGCTATGAGAGGCTGTGTGGAAGTGACACCTTCTTCCTGGGTGCAGAAGCAGGTGCTTCAAGTTGAGTGTAATGGGAGGCAGCAGGCAGGGATAGGCGGACTCGGAGCTCCAGGCCAGCCAGGGCTACATAGACAAACCCTGCTCCAAACCTAGGAAACCCAGCAGCAGTGCACCTAGCCCGGCCTCGGTGCAGGAGGTGTGGAGGAAGCTCACTTGGCCTTGCGCTGTCCTGACATGTGCTTTTCTTTCCAGCTCACAGGATCGATACCGACGGATAAACTACTTGAGAACCTGAGCAAAAAGGCTACAGAACTACTTTCCTGGGAGTCTACGAATTTGGAAGCAGGGAAAACCCAGACATGAGATGTTTTTAGTTTATTCCTCAAGAAGGTGGCACTGTATCAATTATGTGAAGGGACATGCAGACAGCCTAGCTTCGTGGGTACTGTGGGTAAGGACTGAGGAGCCCCACCCTGGCCAGACCACAGCACGGCCATATCTTTCCCCAAGGATCATGTTCCTGGAGGGCAGGGCCCAAGCTGGCTCTTCAGGTCACCCAGTCCTGGTCCTCACCATGAGTGGCCATGCACAGCAGCTCTCTGGAGGTATTTGGAACATTCTATCCTCACACTTGAGACTGTCCTTCCTGAAGTCCACGCTGCACATGGGGAACATGGAAAGGAGGGAAGGTGTGTCACATGCTGCTCCGTAGACTTCCCACAAACCACCTTTCTCTTCTGGAACATTACAAAGTGGACTGGAGAGGACTGTGGGTTTATAAAACTTCTTTTTATCTGAGAACAACAGCTTTGGAAACTAGTCTCTTTCTTCCCACTTCAGAGCTACTCAAATCATTCCTCCAGGCCTTGGCTTGGTACAGAAGGGGAGACCCTAGGTCCCAGGGTGCACTGTCCAGGCACACTGCCCACACTGCTAAGAAAAGAGACCCTGCCGCCGCCGATGGCCCCTTCACCCCACACCACGAGACAGACACCTGTCTTGCCTTGCCTACAACCACTCCTCTAGAAGACCGTGTTGGAAGGAGGGGGGCTTTGCAAGTTTGCCAAATCCTGGGTGTTGACCCAAGGCCGGCCCAGGTGCCTGCACCTCTAGTGAGTGCCCAGCAGGTGGCGCTGTTGCTCGCCGGGCCAGGCCCTCTCAGGGTCCCTTCTAAGGAGTCTCGGTTCCCAGACCTCTTCTGTCGCACACTTGCTGGATGTCACTGCGGGCTCTACCCCTCTGCAGGTGTGACACCAGCAGTGGCTCTGAACCTGGCCCCGCAGCAGGAACTGCTGAAGGCAGGCATGTCCTCGCCATTCTCATAACCCGTCAGTTGTAAGCGGTTCAGTTCTGTAGTATTTATCTCCTTTTTTAGAGGATGTTTCATTGCCCCACAGACTGGTGTGCGGTTTGCACCGTTGCATGAGCCAGACTCAGTGCTGTGGCTCCTTGGGCACTGCCGCCCCTCTGTGTGACGCTGACTGGCAGCCCTGCCCGACAATAAACCTGACCTGAAAGCTGAGGCCGCTTTGGTGTGTGTGTGTTTAGGAAGGGACAGTAGAGGCCGCAGTGCCCCAGGCCTTTTCCCACCCTGCTGCTTCAGTTAGACCACTGGCTGCAGCTTGAAGCTAGGGTTCCTTCCAGTCTGTGCTAAATGTTCACCCGAGATACAGAACCTCAAAATAAGGAGGCTAGATGGAAGGTTTGTGTTTGCTTTTTAATCACGGTCTGGCTGTGTGGTCCAGGATGGCCTAGAACTCATGATTCTCCTGCCTCAGCCTCCTGAGTGCTGGAGTTACCTCTCCTCAGGTAGATTTTTATCGTTTTCACTTTTTAACACATTCTTCGTGTGTATGGGTATTGCCCGCATGTGTGCACCATATCTTTACATGGTGCCTTCAGAGATCAGAAGAGGGCAGAAAAATCCTCTAGAACTGGAGTTAGAGATGGTGATAAGCCATCATTACATATGATGATATGGGTTCTGGGAACTGAACCTGGATCCTCTGAAAGAGCAGCAAGTACTCTTAACCATTAAGATGTTTCTGGGCCAGGCGGTGGTGGCGCACGCTTTTAATCCCAGCACTTGGGAGGCAGAGGCAGGCGGATCTCTGTGAGTTTGAGGCCAGCCTGGTCAACAGAGTGAGATCCAGGACAGGCACCAAAACTACACAGAGAAACCCTGTCTCGAAAGACCAAAAAAAAAAAAGACTGCTTAATGGGAAAAGCGATAGTCACACCCTGTCTGTCCTGTATCAGCGAAAGAGTGTAAGCAGTACACCTAAACCTAGAGTTCAGATAATTTATTCCATGTTTACACAAACCAGGGCAGAAAGAGTCACTCAGAAATACAGGCTAATGTGGGGGACCTCTGGGGAGGTGAGGAAGACCCCACAGGCTAAACATGTTCCTGGAGGTGGACTTCAAGACGGCCACCTCTCCCTTGGAGTTATCTCTGGCAGGACTGCGACAACTCCTAACATTTGGCCCCATAGCCGCTATCCTCAGCCTAGCAGACCTGAGGCTGTGCCTCCCGTTCCCCAGCGCTGGCCCCTCCCCTGATGACTGCCTGTCATGGCATCCCGTCCCACCAGTCTCAAGGCACCTTGCAGCATCAGCAGCGAGTGGGAATGTGCACAGCAGAGCTGGAAAACGCTTCCTGCCAGAGTGCTGCCACCACCCGCACATCCCAGAGCCAGCCTGGGCTCAGTTCCGCTGTGCTGGCCGTCTGGCCCGTGGTCCCCGCTGTCCCTCTCTGTAGGCCCGCAGGCGGCTACACGTCCTCTGAAGCAGCAGCCTCTGGGCCCTCAGGCGCTTCCGGAGCCTCTTGTTTTCCTTCAGTGTGAGGAAGAGTTTTTTTTTCAGGGTATCCAAGTCCAAAAGGGCATAGCTGTGATCAGAGGGCTGTCCCTGAGGGGCTCTCAACCCTGGGGGGCTGGCGGGCAGTCCAGGAGCCTCCATTGCCTCTGGTCTCTCTGGCAAGACCTGAGGACAGAGGTCAGTGAGTGCCAAGGAAAAGCTATCCAGGTGGCCCAGTGTCCCCAGCAAGAAGGCATCTGAGCTGGGGTCACAAATGCCCATTCCCCTTCGGGTTGAGCCCCAGCCCTCTTTCCCTGGTGAAATCCTGGTGGTGCTTGACCGCCGTCTTGGTGGTCTTAGGAGAAGCTCTGGAGTCCGCCACCTATACCTCTGCTCCTGTTCTGTGGGGTCCTCTGGGGGCACTTCTGAGACCAGCTTGTACCCCGGGTCTTACCTGATTCACAGGGCCTTCAGTGTCTGGAGGCTGAAACTCTTCCAGTGTGCAGTCCCCAGCAGCCCCCACCTCAGGACAGACCTGGGAACAGCAGCAGGCGGAGTCAAGATGGCTGAGCTGGCAGACACCGGATCCTCATCCAGCTGCCACTGTCCATCCCTGAGTAATCCCTGCATGGGGGCTGCCAAGTCCTGTGCATCCGCAGTAAGAGCCCTGTCTCATTCTCCCACCTACTCCAGGACTCCAGCCTGTGACCCACTGAGGTCTGATGACAGAGGACAGGGAAGCCCGAGGCCACAGCGTCCCTCTGAGGAGGAAAGCATTCTGAACTCAAACCTAACACTCTGTCTTCAGATGCTCCAACTCCGAGTTCACCAAACCCAAGCTTGTGAGTGCACTGCCTGACTGGGAGCTGCCCTCCACAGCAACCCTAGGATGTGTGGAGAGCTGGTGCGCTCAGCATCTCCTCCCTCACCATCTCCTCCCTCACCAGCCGCAAGACAGCTCTGATTCAGGCAGGACACAGTGGGACCTAACAGCGGGCCACACAGGGGCCTGGGACACCCCAGTCCCTCTGCACAGCCCGAAGTGGGGCACACCTAACAGTACCGACTGGATCCAGCTGTGCCCACTCCTGCTTTCACTAGATAGGTCCCAAATCCTGACCAGATCCCCATGGCTCCAAGGACCTGAATCATTTGCATCACTCTGGAGACTGGCAACCATCCTCAGTAAACACTGGCCCCACAGCACCATGTAATCAGAAGGTTATGCAGATCTGAAGTCTCTGTTAGCTGCTGGCTGTGCCCACAGTGGCCATCTGCAGCTTCTTAATGCCACTTTAGCCTGGGCCCCTGAGGACTGTGAAGTGAAGCCCTGGACCTCCTAAACCTGCTCAGGTCTCTTCCAGCCTCTGTCCACTGTCACGATAAGCACGGCCTAGAATGCACTGAATGTACTTGAGGCTGAGATGGTGGCAGTCCTGCCTCTGCCTTCTGAGTGCCGAGATTACAGGCGTGTACCACCACACCTGGCTTTTTGGTTTGTTCTGAGACAGGCTCTCATGTACCTCAGACTGGCCTCAAACCCCAAGAATGACTGACCTGATCTTCCTGCCTCCGCCTCTGGAATGGCAGGATTGCACACATGCACAGCCCAGGTCTTGTTGGGGATCCAACTCTGGGCTTCGTGCATGCCAGGCAAGCACCTCTGCCAAAGGAACAAGAACCCCAGGCCCAGCACACATGCTTGAGTGTTAAAGGAGCTTTACATCACTTCTTTTGGGGGGTGGGAGGGGTCTCATGTAGCCCATGCCGGCCTCACCCTCCTGCCTCTGGCTCCACATTACAGTACCACCTTGGTTTACAGAGTGCGAGGGCTCCAACCCAGGGCTGCTTCCACCCTGGGCCAGTACTCTCACCAACTGAGCGACCCCTTCAGCCCAGCTCCAGCTTCTTTTTAAGCTCCTCACTCGGCACACACACACAGTCCCACTGGCTGCACCATACCTGCGTGGGGTTCTGGAACGCGAACACAGTGGGCACAGCGTTGTGTTTCAGGTTCTTGCGGTTCCCAAAGGCACTGAAGCACTCGGGTCTGAAGTGCTCGGAACAGATGACTGTGTGCTGCTTGGGTTTGAAGTTGGCCCGGCCGATGTTGAGCACCCACTCCTTCAGCAGCTCTGGGCGGCTGAATGGGAACCTACAGGCACAGCATTCCATGGCACAGCTTTGTAAACTCAGTAATCCACTTCGTTAGTCATATCTAACATCCAGACACTCACCATGGCTGTTACCAGCGCATATATATATATGAAGCCCAAGATCATGAACATGGTAAAAGAGCCCAAGAGAGCTATCCTTCCAAAGCACATGCCAGGAGCTCACTCCTTCCTGTCACTCACCACTTCCCAGGCCCTGGTTTCCTTCCAAAACATGGCATTGGACAGGACTGAGTCCCTGCCCTTCAGGAGCCTACATCCTAAACAGCAGCAAACCAAGCTGAGATGGGCTGTGAGGGCTGAAGCAGGAGGAAGCCCTGTGGTAGTTAGAGCCCGCCGGCCAAGGTAACATTTGAACAGACCCTGCAGCAAGTGGAAGACAAACCCTGTGGCCTTTACAGAGGATGGGTACGGGTGAGGGACCTGGAGGAAGAAGGACTGGCCACATGACGCAGAGCTTTATTTAGATAGATGAGGTCTCTGTAGGTTCGGGATGAGGGAAGGAGAGGGGGCCTGTGTCCACCCAGGCTGCAGTGAGAACTAGGATTGAGCAGGAGAAAGTGCTGACTCTGCAATCCTAGCACTTGGAAGGCTGAGGCAGGAGGACAGCTTTGAGTTCAAGGGCAATCTGGTGTACCACAGTGAGACTTTGTGTCAAAACCAAAAACTACAAAAAGGCCAGGTGTGATGGCAAACATCTTTAACCGCAGCATTCAGGAGGCAGAGAGAGGTGGATCTGAGTTCCAAACCTCATCTACATAGCAAGTTCCAGGCCAGCCAAGGACTTGTCTTCCCCCTTACACCCCAAAAAAAGAGAAAAGAAAGAAAAAGCCAGGCAGCAAGGTTTGCCTGCGGATCATGAAACAATGAAAAGAAAGGAGCTTCGTGTTTGCCATAGAGAAGGGGAGGTTTGGGTGAAGAGAAGTTTAGAATGTTAGGTGTCAAGTTCAAGGTGCTTTTCAGATTATCGAGTGCAGGAGTGGGAGATGGGCACACGTGCCTGGGGACGCCCCTGCAGAACCTGCCAGCCTGGGAGACCTCAGCACTCTGGATACGCTCTGGATGGCTCCATCTTGAACATGTCAGCGCATGTGTGGGAAGTGGGGAGGACTCAGCAAAGGAGAAGGACAGGGAGTCTGACAGAGGTCAAGATGTGCCCTAGGACATGGGGAAAAGACCAGTCCGGTCAGAAGCTACTGAGCAGTCAGGTAAGGCAAAGGCAGATGACATGACCGTACAAGGGAGAACGGGACATGGGAGTGCATGCCTAAGATTCCGGCAGGAGGATCCAGTTCAAAGCCAGCCTGGGCTACACAAAAAAGGAGGAGGAAGGCTGCCTGGGAGAAGGGACACAGGAAAAATGTCCTTAGGAAGCCGAGCAGTATGCGCAGTAAGCACATGTCAATACGCACGAGGGCCAGCAAGATGGTGCAGCCGGAAAAGGCACTTGCTGCCAAGCCTTATGACCTGAATTTGATCCCCAGAATTTATATGGTGGGAAGATAAAACCAACTCCTATAAGTTGTCCTGTGACCTCCACTCATGCACTGCGACATCTGTGCCCACACACAAATAAATAAACAGTTAAAGACAAAAAGCAAGAGTGAATAGAGGTGACTATCCCAGGGTATATGGAAACATGACCAGAAGACACAGGTCCTTGGTAACTGCCCATGCAGCCACCAAGAGGCCCTTCATTTGCGGCACATGAATTCTGACCCGTGTTCAATGGACTACTGTACAGAAAAGAACTCGATTGTGCGTGTGGGGCAAGGGTGACTCTGAAGACAGTGCCCCGAAGGAAGAAAAGCACACGCTGCGATTCCATGACTTAAGGCTCAAACCTGGCCACAGCTATCCCTGCGGGCGGGTGAGAAGAGACTGTAAGTGGAGAGTCTTCTGTGGACTGCCAAATGATGTGTGCATTTTTCTGTGGTTGCTACTCTTGAGTAGAAGCACTGCAACAGCGTTCTGGGGCCCGAGGAGGGGGCGGGTGGGGAGGGGAACACCAGGTGCGAGCAGGCTGCCAGGCCTGAAGGCACAGACATCACTGGAAGCCTTGACGGATGCTTCTTTGGAAAGGGCTACACACTAGTGCTGGGAAAAGGAGTCCTGGGACTACAGGGCCTGGATATCCACCACCTTCGCAAGATCAAAGTCCCTGCCACGCGGCCTGGCCATCCTGGAGGGCGCTCATTCCTCCAGACCATGTACCTCCGCCTGGGCCTCCCTCCAAGTGACGCAGGCAGCAAGGGGCCAGAGCAGGGACACGACCAGACGCCACCCACTCTCCGCCTGTTCACACTGGGCAACTAAAGCTTCCAGGCGAGATGGGCTAGCCCAAGCCTGCACCGAGAGGGTCCGACAGGGCTCAGGCTTTGAGGCTGCGGGAACACCACTGACGCCCTGGACGTCCCCTCCCTGCAGTCCGGTCCACCTCGCCCGCACACCCTGGGCCTCCCGGAGCTCCCGCACGGTGCACCGGGGCCTGTAAAAGCTCCATAGTGTCGGGTCCCGGCCTCCCGTCCCTCACCGGTGGAAGGTGAGCTGCTTCCTGCGGCTGCTGTAGCGGTTGCAGCATTGCTTGGCCGCGCACGACTTCGGCATCTCGGAGATGGGCCCGCTGCCCCTAACAAAGATGGCGGCATGCGAACTCGGGGGCGGAGCTTGAGGGGCGGGGTCTGCAAGGTTCCCGTGCTTGGACCTGGCTTGCTCCGCTCCCTGAAGAAGTTGGAGCCTAGGGATACCTCCAAGAGTTTAAACCCAATGAACCTTGGAAACCTAGAAAAGGTGTCAACCCCCACCTCGGCTAGTAGTTTAAAGCTCCCCGAGGGGGTAGGCAGGGGGGGGGAGGGGGGTCAAAGACAGGTACCGAGCCTGGCTAGCCTGAACTCCTGAGATCCCTCCATCAGCCTCCCAGCTAAGGCACCCACTTGACCACCAGTTGGCTCGGTGGACAGAGGATTCCTAGCACTGGGAACTCGCCTCCAACTCACCTCTGCCTGCCTCTGCTGGGATTAAAGGCCTGTCACCATGCCCGGGCCAAGGAAAGTCCCAACCCCAAACTTACAGAGCCTAAAGGCTGCGGCGGCTTTGAGAGTTCAGATCATTCAGGGGTGGGCACACCACCTGAGCAGAGCCAGTGCGACTGAGAACAGGGAAGCCTTTCAAGTAAGTGCACTCTGGGTCTAGGAGTTAACCAGACAAGCGGGCCACGGGTCATGATCCTTTTCATTGTGCCAAATGCCAAAACCGAATCCGCTTTGCCAGAGCCACTACCTGGGCTGGTGAATGGAGAAAGCCAGTGTCCTTCAGCACAGGACACCTTAGGAGACACCAACCTCAAAGTAGCAATATCTTTATTTACAAAATATACAGTTTCACAGAAACAGCTTGCTTTATACACATAAACTTTATAATTACACAGAACCATGTAAACGATGTTGTCTGGCCTGGCCAAAGCCGATGGGAGAGGTCTACTTTGGGGGTGACACCTTTCCCTCCCCACATCACCAGCCATCAACCAGGAGCCCCTAGAAGGGCCATGCCATTTGCATAAAGAAGCTGATTCCAGCTGCCCAGCTCAGTCCACCCCCAAGCCAAGGTGTCTGCCTTCCCACACCACGCACAGGGAAAGCGCCCCTTAAAAACACAAAGCAAGCAAACAGACTGAGATGAGGGTCGATGTATCCCAGAGGCATCGATCTCTGAGCACACATAACAATGGCCAGCTACACCGGTCCATAACAAAACCACTTATTTTTAAATGCACTTAAAAAAAATAAAACTACTGGAACTTTGGTTATTGTCGGGGTGATAACACTGGACAAGTACCGTCACGGGGCGGGTCTTTGGCAAATTCCTCTAACTTGTCCTAGGTATTTACTCCTCTCAGAGTCAGACAATAGCCTGGGGACAGGACCTTCTGGAACAGCTCCTTCTCTATGGCCAAGTTCTCCCTTGAGGTCTGCGGGACCAGCTGAGCTTCAGCAATGAGTCATTTTCTGTACTTTAATATGAGCAACAGGATTTTAAAAACAAACAAACAAAAAACTAAGACAGTTACTTAAACTGGACAAGTGTAAAGATACTGAGACCCTCCCCCTCCCCCCTCCAGGCTCTGATTAGCAGTCACAGTCTGAGCTCCTTTGGTCTGAAGATACTGCGGGAGAGCGCCTGATGACCCCGCACAGGTGCTACACAGGAATAAATGGGACCCACTTGGACACTCCCTGCCTCGGGCCTAACAGAAAACAGTACTTAGGAGATGGACCACTGCTTTGTCAAACCCTCCCGAGAACATGCACTGGAGGGCTGAAGGAGGCCACTGCAGAGCCAGGGCCTCCTCTTCTTCAACCCCAGGACACCAGTGTCCCGGGAGCTGAGGCAGCCCTCCACCAGGCCAGAGCTCTCCTTCCCACCTCGGAAACTGCAGACTGCTGCAAGGTACGGCCTCACCTTGCCCCAGGAACCCAGCAGGCCAGCCTGTGTGGAGGGCGGATTCTTTTGAACCATTATCGAAGTGAACAGCACATAGGTCCCGAGGACAGCTTCATCTGTGGGCTGCTACTGGAGCAGCTCAAGAACAGAGAACCAAGGGCTTCCAGAGGAGAGCGCTGGGCACCCTGGGGCATGGACCAATGGCAGAGAAAGGGCATCTAGGAAGACACTGGCCAATACTTCGGGCTGTATCGTGCGGAAAAAATGGTTTGCTTTTTTACATCGTGCAAAACAAGAAACTGAGTTATGAACACAGGACACCTCCACCCTCAACCCCCCACTCTGTGGAGAAGTGGCTACATACTGTCCCTTCAAACAAACAGTGAAAAACCAAAGAATCACCGCTCACCCACCACCAAGGGCTCCTCTTGGGGACACCAGACCACTAAGGAAGCAGCTCCTTAGCCCAGTTTAGTACAACGAGGCAGGGGCAGTAAGATCACAAAGGGGCAGGCAACTTGGACGGCTGCTGTATAGACACTTGTGATAGAAGACCAACACTGGAGAATAAACACAGCCAGGGAAACAGAACCACTCCCGACACAGAGGAGACACGGGACTGACAGCCAGCAGCAGCTCCCAATGCCGGGAACTGGCTGACAATGACTATGCCCGCACTCTCAGGGGAAGCAGACCTGGTGCTCAGTCTGCCTCCAACACAGAGAACACAGCCGGAGCAGCAGCTTTCACCACCATTTTATCTGCTCACTGGCTATGTACAGTTTTATCTGGACAGCTAGTCCTTTGCTTAGGCACCTGAGTGGCAGGGTCTGCCCGCACCAGAGCCAGGAGGCCTGTGCTCAACTAGGGAGGCCACAGAGCCCAGGCCCTTCCAGTCCCGCCTCTCCTTGCCAGCTCCAAATCAGTCCAGAAACAGCTTCCGGGAGCCCATTCGGGAACGATTGGAACGACGGATATCAAACTTGGAGTCCCGGCACTTTTGGCAGACAAACACTTCCGGAACATTGGACTTGCGGATCTTCGCACAGGACAGGTGAATCCAGGTGTGGCACTCATTACACTCTATCATGGGGCGACCAGCAAAAGGCTTCATGCAGAAACAGGTGACAAGATCCCAGGAATCATCATCTGGAAGGAAACAACAGTTCAGATGTGGGGACCTCCTGAGGCCTTCTTACCTGGAGCTGCATGCACATCATGGTCTGAGTGTGGCCAAACCGTCACTTCAGCTTAACTTGTTCAGCCAGTGTTTCTCTCTGAAGGCAGTGACTGCATCTCAAATGATGCTGAGATCCATGTGGGGGGCTACATCACTTCTGCACTCAGACTTAGAGAGAAGCCTTGGGCTGTATTCAGGAGCTAACAACTCTTTAAAGAGCATCCATCTGAGCAGAGGTGGCACATGTCTATAGTCCCAGCACTCAGGAGGCAGAGGCGGGTGGATCTCGAGTTTGAGGCCAGCCTGGACTACAGAGTGAGTTCCAGGACAGCCAGGGCTACAGAGAAACCTGGTATTCAAAAAAAGCACCTATCTGCCCTTCCACACTTTCTCCTTTGAAAGATCCTAAGCACCCTGAGCCAACCCCCAGGGCCTAGTCCTCTGCTCGAACCACTCACCTGAGTCCACCATGATGTCCTCATCGTTGCCGGTGCTGTCTTCATCTCGGAAGACCACCTGCTTTCCCTGCCGGACAATAGTCCGTTTTCCTTCAGTCTTTATTTCTTTAACCTGATCCGGGGACACAGTAGCACAAGAGCCACTGGAGGGAGTGTCAGAGTCCCAGCCTGAGCAGGGGTCAGCAGAGGCCTGGGGAATATCCTGGATGGTGGGACTTGTGGGGGTCTCCACATACGGATCTGCAGCCTCCAGCTTCAGCAAGCCCCCCCTGTACCCCTCCTTCCCAGGCATGTCACTGTCCCTTCGCTTCCTCTTCTTCTTCTTCTTCAGCTTGTCAGTTTTCTTCCTGTCCAGCAGGAAGTTACTGGGCTTCGCTCGCTGCAGGAGGGAAGGCTGCAGGTGGCTGAAGCAGCGGTCCGATACTGGCAAGGGCACTGAGGACGTAATGTCAGAGAAACCAGTGTCCCAACCGTCACTGTCGACGGTGCCAGCAGTGCTGTTGGCGGGGCTGGGGCTGCTCCTCAAGGGGAGCTCCTGAAACAGAGCAACAGGGGCATGGTGGTCATTTCACCAGGCTCCAGGGCTGGGCGGCCCTCCCCCAGCAGGTCAGTCCTGCACTGATCAAGTACAACTGGACCCGGGGCTCTAACCACCATCAAACTGGTGCAACCTCAGGAACATTAAAGTGCCAGCACACCAGGAGGACACACCTTCCCTCACTGAGTGTTTCCTGCAGTCAGGACAGAGCTCACAGTTAAAAGGCTAAGGAGCAACTGGGAACTGGAGTGGCAGAGTGCTTTGCCTAGCATGCAAGGAGCCGTGAGTTGACTCCCACCCTCCAAGAGCCTACAAAAAGTGCTACCAACACCCACTCAGGGTTAGTCTTCCCTGAAGACTAACAAAGCACTCCTGCATTTATTCTCCCAACAGATTTCTTTTTTGGTTTTTCTGAGACAGGGTTTCTCTGTGTAGCCTTGGCTGTCCTAGAACTCCCTCTGTAGACCAGGCTGGCCTTGAACACAAGAGATTCACCTGCCTCTGCCTCCTGAGTGCTGGGATTAAAGGCGTGTGCTGCTATGTCTGGCTCCCAACAGGTATTTTTATAATTAAATGAATTTAAGTTAGTTTCAAATTTGTGACCTTCTTTAAAAACAAAACAAAAAACAGCTGAGCATGATGACACATGCCTTTAAGAGAGGCAGGCAGATCTCTAAGTTCAAGGCCAGCCTGATCTCCAGACTGAGTTCCAGGACAGCCAGGGCTACACAGAGAAACTGGGGAAAAAAAAAAAAAAAAAAAAACGGAGACACCCCAAAATATTGCAAAATCTAAGTAGATAATTAGTGTCCCCAAACAGCAAACTAAATGCTGCAGTTCGTACCATTCAATTATCTGCCAAGACTGGCAGCATTCTATGTGGTACAAAGTATGCACTGTACAGCAGTAAGAATAAACGCATGCCATGATTTTATTTCCGCAATTACCAGATTCTGTTTGTAGCTTAGTGTGATATACACAGGATCCCAGCAGTCTGAATCCCACAGAGGCTGACATTCCCACTCCCCTTCTGCCTTTCCTTGGCCAGGAAAAAAAATCCTCCATGTGCACAGAATATGGGGCATGGGTAATAATCCCTCAAGACCCAGTTGTCTGGTATTCCCAGCAACTAGGCAAGATGTGAATCCTAGGGCAAGAGATTGTCCCCTCTGTGGCCTGGGTGTCCTCATCTTCAAGGCAGGGGGGGAGAAAGAATGGCACTTAGTTCATTCTTCCTAAAGACAGTTGGCCTGGCCACTCAAGTACCAGCGCTTCTCAAAACAAGAACAAAAACAAAAAACAAAAAACAAAAAACAAAAAAAAAAAAAAAAAAAACACAGGCACATAACCAACTACAGCTTTTACAAATACTTCTTGGTTGTTGCCGTTATTACTTGAAACAGGGTCTCTTAAGTCAAGCTGGTCCGGAATTCACTATGTGGCCCAGGCTGACCCCAAACTTTTAAACAAACCTCCCATGCCTCATCCTTCTGAGTGTGGGGAGTACTAGAGTGAACGTAAATCAATGTATTAAGTTTGTTAAATCGCTGGACAGTGATGGCACACGTCTTTAATCTGAGTTCTAGGCCAGCCTGGTCTACAGTGAGTTCCAAGACAGCCACAACTGTTATACAGAGAAACCCTGTCTTGAAAAATTAAAAAATAAATAAATAAATAAATAAATAAATCGAACAAACAAACAAAAAAACCCAGGTGTGGTAGCAAACACCTTTAGTCCTAGCACTTGGGAGCCAGAGGCCAGCCTGGTCTACAGAGCAAGTTCCAGCACAGCCAAGACGACAAAAAGAAACCCTGTCTTGAAAAACCACGATAGATAGGTAGATAAATAAATAAATAAATGAAATCTATTTGTTAAATCATTTCTAGACAAGCTTACTAAAGCTTTGGAATCACTTCCCTGTCTAAGCTCATTTAGGCCCCCAAAAAACTGATTGAAGCCAGGCTACCTCCCCAACCTGGCACCAAGCGCTTCCAGACCCACTACTGGTGAAGCACCTGTAGCAGGAAACCAAGGTGCTAGGGTCTGATGCTCCAAAATCTCGAGTCATTACCTCCTTCGGGTAGGGGATGTAGCCAGCATAGGCCAGGACGAAGGTGCAGAACTTGTTGAAGTCTTCGACAGTGCGGCGCCTCTTACAACTGGGGGAGTACTCCTGTTGAGGGAACAAAGGGTACGTGAGGGAGACTCCGGGAGGGGAAGCTGACCAAAACAAAGCAAGCTGCAACTTTTATTGCCAACTCACACAACCCTGCAGAATTTACAGTCTAGAAACAAGATAAGGTGAGTTGGGGTCAAGAAACAACAAAGTGTTCTTAAGGTAGAAAGAGGAGTTTTAAGATTCTGTGCCAAGAACACTGGGAAACTAGCTAGAAGATAAAAAGCTTGTCTACAGTCCACCTTTTGGCACCCGCCTTATCTGTTTGTCCCTGCAGGCCTATCAGGAGCTCCAATATCTACATTTTTGCTACAGATTTTCCACTTTGAAAACAAACTGCAGCTGTGGTTCTAAACAAAAATTAAGTGATTTCAAAAACCAGCTGCTTAATCTCTCCTTGCTCTCCAAACCTGACTCCCATGAGGCCAAGGCAGGGAGGGGGCATCCTCCTCTCCTGGTAGGGGCGGGATGGCGGACACCCAAGTGTCCCTTGCACTGAGTTCTCGGAATGGAGAGCGTACTGCTCCGTTTAGGTGCGCACTTCAGACGCAAGCCCAATCAGCCTGCTCAGGGGCCATTCTCAACGGCCACAGAGCACCCACCACAAAAAGGGATTTCTCCCGAGAAGGCGGAGCATCCAAGGCTCCGGGAACATTCCCTGCGGTTGCTCGCGCAACTTGTCACCACCCCCCGCCCGTGCTCAGGTGCTCGGCCACCTAGAAGAGGGGCCCGGGGCCGACCTCGGAAAGCCTCCCGCAAAGGGGCGCGCAGCGCAGCACTTTTAAACACGGTTCCAACTTGCTCCGAAAGGCCGCTCGCTCCCGCCCCTCGGCCAGCCCCGCGGGCGACCGAGCGGGCCGCGCGCTCCCGGCACTCGGGCAGCCACAAGGCCGCGCAACCGGGCCCCAAACTCCGGGAGAACTTTAATTTC